CAAGAGGCGATGAAGAGAGTTTTCTTCACTTTTAGCACTGCTAATTGTACCACTTTTAGCACTGCTACCTATACCATAAAAGACCCATCATCCCTCTTCCTCTCCCCCTCCTCCCCCCCTCCCTCCCTACCCTTTCCCTTTGAATCCACCAATGTTCCCATTACAGAATAAATGAGGGAATCATTAGTGTAATAAGTGAATGACATGGAAGTGGGGAGAATGCGACACATCTAGCATTTTTCTGAAAGACTATGAAAAGAAGCAGGAGAACGAGCATCAGGGAAGGAGGGGGGGGGGGCACCGGCATTGCCACGTTCTTTTAAGAGTATTTCGCTGTTCGACACTTGAAGTGGTTATATCAGATGGCTAATTCTGATTCTCCGGCTCTGTTTTTGGCAACTTTTCCGGCTGCTTTGACAAATCCCTTTGACCAGTGCTTTATCCAGTTTCGAGATGTCGTTGGTTTATATTGTGTATCGTCTTACACCGTTTTCTGGCCGTTATGATAATAAGTGAAAAGGGTTATTTTTTGCATCTAGTACGACTTCATCTTCGATTTTGTGATAATTGTTTTTGGCATTTAGGTGTTCTGAAAGTCCATTCCCGATCGTTCCAAGGAGAAATATACCCTTTGCTTTTTTCTTATCGACGTTTTAACAATTTTTTAAAGGTATGCGCTCAGTACCGGGGCTCTGTCGATCGGTTAGATGTTGAAGCGATATTAACGCATTTTGTTGAAACAAAAGGAACAGGCAGAGATCGGCCAGGTGCCTATTTTTCCTCTTTTTTGGGGAGGGAGCGGAGGGAAAAGGATGCGAAGTATCATTGATTTTTATTTTACTTTGCTTGGACCATTTTTAAATTGGTAGCGATGAAAATGATTGTATGGACGCGTAATTAAACAGTCGAATAGTTGGAATAGTTGTTATTTCGTATTTTTATTCGCTAAGTGTGAAGATAAAAATGTTTCCGATCACCGGAGTTAAGTTTATTGGTTATTTTGATGTCCGTTTTAGAGGGTGGGGGGAGGGGGAGGTCGAGTTCATGGTTTCAAAACACAGTATTATTAGGTGAAAACAGCTAAATGGTGGTAAAATATAAGCTTAGAAATACGAGTTCTTAAAAAAATGAACTGAAAAGCAAGGGCCCATTTTTACGGATCCAGAAGCGAGTATTGGCAGCTAAAATGAAATACATCTTGCCCTTTTTATTTCGAGACTGGATATGCCATCGGTCCCACATGAAAACCACTATTATGAACTATTATTATTATTGTTATTATCATCTTTGTTGTTGTTGTTATTGTTTTTGTTGTTATTATTAATAATATTGTTGCTGCAGTTATGATTATCATTATTA